TTTTTTTTTTTTTGGTACCAGGGATCAAACTCAGGCCCTTGAACTTTCAAGGCAGGCGGCAGCACCACTGAGCTACATCCCCAGCCCAAAAATTTCTTTATCTTTAACCCACAGCTTCCTTCTTCCACAAAATTCTTGTTTTAATTTACATATATTAGAAAGCAATTTTCATAAAAGATGGACAAAATACCCTTGGCATTATAACCTAAAATAAGGTTAGCAAAATAGCTAGTAGTATTTATATTAATGGAATATGCACTCATAAACAGCAACTACTATTCATTTACATTTGAGATTTATTCTTATATCTCAAATTCATAAAATGACCCCACCCCCCAGTGTAGGATCCTGAGGTTCATCATCTCTTATCCAAAACGCTTGGGATGTTTTGACATAGAGATTCTTTGGATTTCATAGACACACGTACAGTACAAAACATGACACTCTCAACTGGACCTGGGGCACCCCACAATCAAACTCTCTGTAGGGACACGTGTGACCATTAACACAGTGGTATAAATGCAGGCTAAATAAATTGCCTCACCTTAATTCTTTGGTCCAATGAGTGTGGGTAAAACTTTGGGGCAGGGGATGACAAATTTTCCTTTTATAGATTCTGTATTTATTTATTTACTTATTTATTTATTTATTTTTGGTACCAGGGATCGAACTCGGAGTCTTTGGGCTTGTGAGGCAGGTGGTGGCAGATTCTATATTTTAGAACTGGGAAAAAAGGAGCTGAACCACATTCATGAATGATAGAAGAGCCAAGTATCACCTCCTTTTCCTAGGACACCCTGCTAAATCGGAATGAGAATCTGATCTCATTTTAAAGCTCTTGTTAAGGCTAGGCATGATGGCCTGCCTATAAAACCAGCTCCTGGAGATGGGAGCAGAAGAATCTCCAAAGTTTGAGGCCAACGTGGGCTAAACAGTGAGTTCAAGGCTAGCCTAGATTACACAGCAAGACTCCGACTCAAACAACAAAACACGAGAAAAGCTCTTGTTCTTTACTCTGAACTATGACAGTGATTAGAGATTAGGGTAAAAATGGGAAAAATAAACGACAGCCTTTATACCTAAAAAGAAAATCAATCTCAAAAGTAAATATAACTATATATAGCCAGTTAGGATGCTGGATACAAAGAATTCCTGAACGGGAACTAACAAAAATAATCTCTGAAAATAATGAACCTCAAATTAGAAGCACCAACACAGTTTTCGTGATCCTTATACCATTGTATTTTTCCTTATGATGACCAAAAGTACTTTATAACGTTAAATATTTATCTTAAGTATTACAATGACTTGGTCCACTTAAGAAATACTTGAGACTCTAACTGCGTTCCAGAGAGAAGGATGTGGGCACAGGCCAGTGGTGTCAAAGGCCACAGGAGTTTGAACTAGCAGCTCAGAGCCGCTGAGCTCTAGGTCAGTGTTGGCAATACAGGCACCTAGATGGTACGGACGAAAATGGGACCAGAAGGTAAAAGCAGCCTGTGCCTTGTCCGGGTACGGGGACCGCGTCAGCGTTGGGACTTCACTGCTTCCCACCATCCCTGCGCAGAGCCCCCGACAGGGCCCTGACACACACACCGCCGTGGTCTAACATCACCACTGCCAGCGGAGCGCGGAGAGCCGCCGCGGCCAGGCGGCCAGGCGGCCAGGGCACGGTCCTCCATCCTCTCCTATCCTCAGCGTGCGGTAGCTCGGCTCGGGCGGGCTACGCGACAGGCGAGCCTTGAGGACGTCGCGGGCAGCTGGAGCGTCGCCCTCCTCGCCAGGACAGACGGCACCGTTAAAATGGCAAGATGGCCACGAGCCGCAAAGGCCCAGCGGGCCCGAACCCGCATCTTCCCTCCCCCACACTCCCGCCCGCCAGCGGTCGACAAGCCGAGGCCCGGGATTAGGACTCTGCCCTGTAACCCGGCCCCAGGCTCGCCCGCCCTTGGGGTGGGAGCGCCCGCTCCGCCGCTCACTTCGGGACCTGGGTCGCGCGGGTCAGGGGGCGCCCGCTCCTCCCCACGCCTGCCCCGCCCCGCCCCGCCCGCCTCCCCTCAGCGCCACAGGATGCTGCCCGCGGGCTAGGGCGAAAGGGTCGTAACCACACCACCAGGGAGGGACGAGCCTACTACTCCGGTCCCGCCGTAGCTAGGACCCCAGACACTCACCAGCCCGTCCGCCGGAAAAGAGGAGCCGACAATCGCGCCGCAGACACGCCCCGCCCCACACGCAGACAAATGCGTCATCACGGCGCACCGCCCCCTGCCAACTCCTTCCTGGCCCAAGCGGCCCGCCTTCCTCCGCCCTACTCTGGCCGGCTCCCAGCGCGCAAGCGTAAACGCTTCCGTCTCGTCCGCGTCTGCGCAGTCGCCGAGCCCCTCCCACGGCAGTTGGCCATATAGAGGCTGGGGGTGGGGGGGAGGTCAAGCGTAGCCTCTTCTCCTTTACCAACATGGCGTCTTGTCCGTGTTTCGCCACAGTTCCTACCTTATGAGCTTGGTTTCTTCACGCTAATAAGATTGGAACAGGTAATGAGATTCTTCGCCTTGTGGGTAACTAGACTGGGGGGAAGGGCGCCTCTCTAGCAAAAGTCAGGTGCCACTAGGATAAGAGGCGGCCGGGGGCGGGCAAGTGGCGGCGTGAGTGCCTAGCAGTGACAAGGAGGTGGCTTTCGCCTCTGCCCTCTCCTCCAGGAAGATGGCGGCAGCAGCGAGCTTCGAGCGCCGAGCTGGGCGGGGTCGGGGCCGGCGAGCGCTGGCGGGGCTGTTCTAGCCGCCGCCGCGGCCGTCTCGATGGTACGTCGCCGCCTCGGGATTGGCTACACGCGAGTCAAGTGGGGCACCCCGGACGCACACCATAGAGTCGCGCGGGTTCCCCGGGGACGTGGCCTTCTAGGTCCGGCCGGGGCCCTCGCCCCGCCGGGGAGGGTGGAGCCGGCGCGGCCCCTCGCTTCTCTTGGTCTGGGGTGCGAGGTGAGACCTGCAGCATGACCCGCTCGCCAATCTCTCAGCGACCGCCTTGGGGGCAGGAGGGTGCCGTGCCCGGTTTCGGCCTTCCCGGGACGGGCGCGGCACCTCGCCAGATGTCCTTTCCTCCGTCCCGGGCAGCCCACAGGCCGGGCGGCTGTCGGAAACTCGCGCCTGTGCCTGGCGCCAAGACCCCTCCACAGGAAGCCTCCCTAGGGTGTCCTGATGGAAAGGGAGCACTTCTTGCATCCCTCATGGGTAACAAGTACGGTGTTGGGACCCTGAGCTGTCCGACACATGGCTTGTTGTGAGGGTGTTTTCTGCGTAGCCCCTTGGAGAAGTGGTCAGGTACTGATGTGTCTCTGCCTTGTTTTCTCTCCACCCGACGTAGAAGACGAGAGCGTCAGACTTGACATGGTGTTGCGTACTGTGCAATCCAAAGGAGAAACCGACCTGTGTTTCATTAAAACCTTACGGTCACATGAAACGCCTGGAGGAACTTGGTGTGGTAATCTTCATTCATGGGATTTCTTGCCCTTCAGCTTTGGGTTTGTTCTGTGTATCTGCAGGTTCATAGCCATCCCAAACCCTCTGGTAATGACTTCACACATTGTGTTTCATGTTTAAGGAAAATCCGTCGCTTTCTTAGCGGGTAAATTTTGTAAAACCCTTTCAGATAGGATTTTGTCTGAGGTTGCTGGTGACCACACTGTAATCTCATTATGAAATTAAACCTGGAATACTGAAACATGGGATGAAACCTAGTGCTTAGGTTTATATTTTGATCATGTTGAACACTCGAAGGGTTTGACCCCAAAGTAAACTCAATTTTAAATATGGGATACACGGTCCGGGGATTTAGCTCAGTGGCACCGAGTCTGCCTTGCAAGTACAAGGTCCTGAGTTCGATCGATCCCTGGTACTGCAAAAAAAAAAAAAAGTATCGGATACACTAGAAAACCTGGGAGCAATGTTTTGAAGTAGCTGAAAAGCTGTTTAGTTAAGAATGACTACCAGCATGTGAATTTCCACGTTTTTGGTTCTGAAACCTCAACCACTATTAGTCTACTTAGAGTTTTAGATTTGGAAAAGTGGAGCATACCTCCTTAAGTTTCGGGGGTCAGTTAACTCACAATGAGGATTAAACTTTCTTGATAGTATGTTCTGCTGTGTGTCAAGCACAGTTGAGTCAAACTCACCTGAGAGTGCCTCAGGTGTAAGGGAGCACTAGGGCAGATTCACATCACTGACCTCTTTTCATGAACCTCTGGTTTCTCCCATTCTCCTGATGGGAAAATTTCATGAATATTTTTTTGTTTGGCTTTGTTTCAGTTTTCTGATTGACTTCCATCTCGTGCTAGGTGTGGTGGTGCATCCCTAATCCCAGCACTCTGGGAGGCTGAAGCAGGATGATCACTAGTTGTAGCTCAGCCTGGGCAATTTAGTGAGACCTTGTTTCAAAATTAAAAGGGCTGGGGATGTGACTCAGTATGAAGGCCCCCAGGTTCAATTCCTGCCATCACGTACACACGTAAAGAAAATATGTACTGGAAATTACCAGTACCAGGCATTGTTAGTTTCTAGGGCTCCAACAGGAAAAAAAGATAATAGATTTTTTTCTATAAGTTCTATAATCTAGGACATTCACTTTTAAGAGAAAACCAGTGTGATAAAAACAATAATAGAAATATGTGCAAGGTGTGAAGTTAGGAGGCAGTGGTTACCTCTTGGAAAGTCTTCCAAAAGAATGTGTCCTTGTGGAGTTGGCAGGATGGGTATTCTAGACCCAGTGGTGCATATAGCAACAAAGTGGTAGACTGCTGATGCTATGAGTGGTAGAGGGCTTGGCTGAGACTGGAGTAGAGGGGCCTCCTGACCTTCAGTGAGTCTCACCTAAAACATTCTGACTTGAGTAGGATTTTTGTACTGTGATGACTTACAGTCTTTCATGGGTCAGATAGCTTCTCCACTAGGGCCTTCCAACTGGAAGTTACTTAGCAAAAGAGCTTGAGAGAAAAAGTACTCGAGTACATATTGCCGTGCCTCCTGGAGTGTGCCTCCTTCCCTTGCCAAGCAGTGGTAGGAAATCCTTTCTCTTTTTCATTATGCAATAATGAAACTCTCAAAGACTTCTAACACACAGCTATTTCTCAGTTGCTAAGTTACGGTGACACAGAGTCTTAAGATGCATGTAAAGATTTTTGACCAAGAGGAAAAGCAGACAACCTCAACCAATATAAGTTGTCAGAATGCATTTTCCTTTAAATTATAAAAGCACCACAACATTCAACATTTGGAAACCACAAAAAATGATGAAAAGGAACTCTTTACATGTATAACATTTAAAAAACTGATGCATGTTTTTAATTTCTAGAATTAGAGACTTGTTAAAGATAAAATCCCTAGTAGACCCCTGGTCTCCTGGGCTTGCCACAGTCCCTTCCTCTGTTCTGAGGCAAATCTGGAAGTCCTGTTGTGTTAGTCGTCATGTTGACACTTGCTATTGTTAATCTGGTGTTAGTACACTGACTATGCCTACTCTACTATTATTGGCACCCTTACTAATTTTAAAATTAAAAACTTACTTCAAATCAAGAGTATAGCTCCATGAGGGCCGGGGGTTTAGCTCAGTGGTTCCGCCACCTGCCTTGTAAGCGCAAGGACCCGAGTTCGATCCCCAGTACAAGAAAAACAAGTATATCTCCATGTAATGTACAGAGTCACTTGATGTGTGAAGGAAAAGTCCCAAGGCTCTTCCCCTGTCACATTTTCTTCCCTGCAGAGTATGCTCTTAGCCTCGTAGCAAATCCCAGCCTTGGCTTCCAGCGCCAAGCTTGCTCCCCTGGCTTTTGTGCCTCCTGCCCTGATTTCACAGATCATTTCTTCACTTGGCACTGAGAGCAGATGTGAAGTTGAAGTTTCTAGCCTTGTCTCACTCCTTTGCCATCTTTACCCTACTGCCCAAAGTAGCTAAAGTATATCCTTAATCTTGTTATTTCAGTATCTAGTGCTTGTTATACGTAAGGATGTTATCCACATAGTGCCTTGCACAGCTGGGCCAGATGGTATAATAGTAGTTTTACTTTACAGAGAGTCTTTTCTTTTTCCTGTTGTTATTACAAATCTTGTTTAGTTTTTTCTGCATTTGTCATTAAAATTGAGACCCAGATTTTGCATCATCTAAAGTCTCCTTTTAAGAAATGTAGTCCAGGGCCGGGGATTTAGCTCAGTGGTTCTGCCACCCACCTTGCAAGCGGGAGGATCCGAGTTCGATCCCCAGTACCAAAAAAAAAAAAGAAAAGAAATGTAGTCCTTTGTATGATGAAATGCAGTATTCAGTGTCTCTGACCTCTTGCAACCTTGACTGTACCTGGAATTTTCCTACACATCTCAATGTTCCCTCTGCTGTAGTCTTGGTTTTCTGGAACCCACATCCTCCTGTCTTGGTTTTATTCTCATTTTGGTGACACACACCCTCCATCGGTTGCCAGAGAAAAAGAAATTTTGAGATCCTTTTTTTGTCCAAAAGTGCTTTGTTTTCTTGTACCTGAGTGAGAGTTTGGACCTGATTTTGCTCCTCCCCAATTCCCAGGGTTTTGGAAGTCTCCAGCCATCCTGAGTCTTGAGCCTCTGTGTGGTTATTTTCCTTGATGAAGCTTGAAGGCTTTTCTGTCTGAAATTCGCAACTCGAAGCATAAGGTTGCTTTAGAGTCTCTCACCTGTTGTCTTGCCTGCTCTGCAGGCCTTTTCATTTGGAAACCCATGTTCTTCAACACTGGGCCTTTCTCTTGGGTTACAGAGTGATAAGTGTGGTTTATGAATATGATGTGTCATAAAAGATCAAGTAATATATTACCGCAAATAGTTTTTTTCAGGTGAAGCATTTGAAATGTACTCTTCGCAGTTTAGAAAGGTATGACATTATTATGTACTGTATTCATCACATTGCAATGTCAATTTTTTTTAAAACTTATTCCTACCATCTATTAAGGCTTTGTACCCCTTTTTTTTTTAGGTACTGGGGATCAAACTTGGGTCCTTGTGCTTGTGAGGCAAGCGGCAGAACCACTGAGCTAAATCCCCGGCCCTGTACACCTAGTTTTAAATTTTTTAATTTATTAGGACATGTTTGGAGTACATAGTGATTACATTCATTGTGGGGAGTTGATACATGCACGTTACACGTTCTTTTTTGCATCCCTTTCCCATTCTCCCCTCTTGTAACCTTTCATATTTGTGTCATGGATGCAGCGTCTCTTATGTCTCTGGATCTAG